TGTCATGATAATCTCTGCCTTGAGCCAGCCACTTGTGAACTGAAATGGCCAGTGAATTAAATCTCTCCTCCTTTAAGTTGTGGGTGTTGGGGACTGCGTTTCAGCCATGAGAAAGCTAACTAATATATTTTCACCTGCAAAGCATATATTCACTTCTAGTCCCTATAAAAATTGAGTGCAATAATTCATGCAAGTATAAATACACAATAAGAGCTCAATAAATTTGCTTTTGTTATCTTTCTGGCTAGTGCTTATCAGGTGTGACTAGCAATGAAAAAAATCTGTGTTTAGAGCAATTTTGTTTAGTGGTCAATGGAGACCAATTAGATTCTTTTCCCTTTTTTTTTGTACCAGGAAATTGAACTCAGGACCTTGCACTTGCCAGGCAGGTGCTTGTGCTGCTGAGCTATATCCCTGGCCCCCGTTAGATTATTATACTAGAATGGGTAATTTGAATACTCACCTCACTGATGCTCAACATTTTTTTTCTCATCAGTCAGCAGACATTTATAATGGAAGATATACAAAAAAAGCTGTCTTTCATGTGGCAAGGGCAGATTCTTTTGTATAGGATATGGTAGTACAAGCTCCCTGTCTCCATCTAATTATGAAATTCTATGCAGTACATCAAAGTAAATAAGTAGGTTGGAGAAGAAATAGACAATCTGTTACTGATACCTGCAAACCGTTACTGAAACTAGTATCAAAAATGATCAGCAATAAGGTTTTGTCTACTGATTTTCTTATTCTGCTCTTAAATCAACAGCATTGACTCAGAATTTTCTAAGTATCTCTTCTCTTAATTTCCCAATTCAACAAACATTTGTGCAGAACCTAATATATATTGATTTCCCTTTATGCCAAAGTGATTGTTCATATTTCTTTTCATCTTTCTTGATATGTCTGTTCCTTCCACTCTTGCTTCATTCTTTTCTCATTAATAGCTCACTCTGTGTGACCACAGAAAAGGGATGTTGATGTGATTCTGTATTCTCTTCCAACTATTAATATTTAATTGTTCCTATTTGACATAAAGATCTAATACATTTTACAACTTGCTTCACATTTCTAACGTTTTCATTGCCTCACTTGTGGCTTCATGGGCAGTAGGTATGTGATTGCACTTGTTGAGTTGCAGTGGGAAGAAATGGAAGCCATGAACATCTCTAAAAGTGAAAGGTTGAGAATGAATTTGTTAGGGGAGGCACAAAGTTGGGTATGGTATCAAATCACATAACAACTCCAATTTGTCATGCAAAATTTCTGGGAGAAGGTAATAAACAGTCTTTAAAATGACTTAACTCATATTACCCCTGTAAAGGAAAGAATAATCAGGGTTTGCAATAAAAAGGGAAACAGACAGTTTTGATTTAACTCAGGTGTGGGTAAGCATGATATAACTGTGATTTGAATCCTGGCTCCTCTCCTCCCTAGCTATGTCACCTTGGGAAAATTAGCTCTCTTTAAGACACATTTTAAATCTGTGAAACAGAGGTTATATTGATGCTCAATGCTATTGTAAGCATGTCAAAAATATATAGAAATATAATCTCATCAGACACATAAGGTATGTTACAAATGACAATCATTAATATACAGTTTACATTTGCTATTACTCATGTAAAGAAAACACACATGAAGTCTGAATTGTTCTGATGAGATTTAGGTATTAGCTGCTTGGGAGGGATAGAAGAAGGGATGGGTTAGGAGGGAAGGCAGAGGCACGAAGAAGGTGGTAGTTGCTTGCCTAAATGATTTGAGGTTATTCACAAGGCACACACAATCATTTGCATATTATGCAGATTCTGAAAACAACAAAAAAAAAATGAAAAGGAAATTGAAAAAAATGAAAACAAATTGTTCTGGGTTGGAATTACGGCTATGTGAAAGGAAATATTCTGTGTTGGCAAAATCAGTGAGTTACACGCTTGTGATTTGCGTCTGGAGAACCTGTGGCTGCATATTCTTGTGAAATCTAACGAAGGTTTGCAAAAGCCTGTTTTGAAGCTCCCTATTCCATGTCCAAATTGGAGAAGGAATGCTTGAGCCAACATGCTCCAGCAGGTGCTGAATTCTTTTTCTTTTTTTCTCACCAATTACTGTGTAAACCCACTTATATTTTATATATAACATTGGTTTTACATCATTACTTTATATATTTTCTTCAATTCTTGAAATGTTTTCTAATTTTTTTGGTTGCGTGATTTCTTAAAATAATTAGTACCAGGGAAAACTAGCTAGTTTGCATATGTGTCAAGAACCTTTATTCTCAAATATAGACATTATGTAATTTGTTGTAAACGCTGTCACTCTGATTAACGTATTCAAAGCACTATCTGAAAAAGACTACACTATGTTCTTCCTCTCCCCTATCCTGAAAAGAAAATGAGAAAACATCAGAATTCTTAATGTTGTGAGCTTCCACTGTCTTGTGATTTTGAAATATGATTTTTAACCAAGGTTTGCAAATAGCGCTTCACAGGCTGAGTCACTGCCGAGGATAATTTATGCTTGAAAGAGAAGAAAATATTTCCTTGATTTTCCTGTGCATGGAGCAGTAACAAGTTTTGATGAACTAAAATAGTTTATTTGAATGGTTTTCAAGTCAGTTATAAGTTTAATTTTATACCACCTTCATCTATATAAAGAGATCATATATTGAAGAGTAGTGTACTTCTAACAGTGAAGCGTCTCTTTGTCTTTTATTACAAGTAGATTAATCTGCCTATTCTCTTGCTGCCCTGCTTGAGTGACTTAGTCTCAGGTGTAGTATCAAGTCTCAAATTAATGAAATTTTTATTTAGCCAGAGGCTGGAATTAAAACTAGAAGACTGTGTATTTCCTTAATTCAGTTGGTAAGTAAATATGCAACATTTAAGAAACATAGAAGTAGGGAGAAAGATCTTTTGCAAATGGGAAGGGGACTAAGAGGTGCAGGGAGGGGGGAGGGGGAGACGGGAAAGTGATAAAAAAGGAATTGAGATGTGTTATTTGTGCTCATGCACCGACTCTCCACGAGTGATGTGGTCGTTATCTACAGTAAACACGGACTAACAAAAAATAAAAATTGGTGAGAAAAAGAAACCAATGGAAAGACCTAATTATATTGATAGAACAGGAAAAAAAATATTAAGGGTAAATTCTGCACACATAATTAACCCTCTAAAAGGATTCACTAAGATTTACTTAGACAGAAAGCTCTCCTAGTATATTTTAGGAGTATTTTGGAAGCAATATAAGGAATCTCATGTCATTTTTCCAAAGAACATTGTGTTTGCTTCAAGTTAAGGGACGTTGGTGGGTAAGTGGAAGACAGGGTGGTGGGATGGAATGAGACAACCAGCAGGAGAGTGGTAGTCATTGGGATAATAAGATAAATGTATTGTAGGTTTCCGTGGCAACCAGGGACCCCAGCTGTTCTTCTGCCCCAGCTTGGTGAAGAACAGCCCACCTGTGCCAAGTCTCACTCTGCTTTTGAAACCAATGTTTTTATTGCCACATTAAATTGTTCTAAGGATTCCAGTTTATGAAACAGCACCAATTACTTTAGCTGAGTCTAAATCTCTAATGCACTTACTTATCCAGAAATGTTTTTCTAATAAGTGCTATAATTTTTCTTTTACAGAGATACATTTAGAATGAGCACAAAGAAAGTCCACTTTCACGCTACATTTACAATTCATTAAGGTTTGCAGAGAGATTTGTTCAGGACCTTAGTTGACTTGTTCTCCAGCTGAGTTCTGGGAACAGTAATATCCTCTCTCATACAGAGTGAGGTGTTTGTAGGGGTTGCTACTGGTGCCTTAGAAAGCTTTTCAGAGGCTTTCTTTTTCCTTAATTTTTCTGCTCTGTGTCCTTCTCTTGCCACTTACTAGGTGTAGGTCCATAGGTAAGGTTTATTTCACTGTACCCTAGTTCCTTGTCTATACAACGAGGGTGATCATTGAACTTGGCTCATTCAGCCTTGTCAAGATCAAACGAGCTAATACATTTTAGAAGCTCTAATCATAGTACCCAAGAATATTTGCTGTTATCATAATTATTCATCTATCACCTCAGATGTATTTTTCCTTTTAGCCTCATCATCTTATCTAGCAAATTCAAGAAAATATTCCTGCTCATTTCATCCCACTTGTTTTCTTTCAGCACCAAATCTTACCTCAAGTAAGAGGATTTGTGAATGTGGTCTTGGGCCAAGGCTATGGCCTTGAAAAATGCTCAAGGGGATAAGAAATTTGAGTCTGACTTTGCCTTCATGGAATCATCGGAGAGATGGTCTTAATCATCCTAAATACAGCTAGCTATCAGTGTAGCTAGTCACAAAGCTAGTTAGCTACACCAAAGGTGAGGACCGAGCAGCAGATAGGTCTGGTTTGTACTACTTGCCAGAGATTATGCCCCAGGAAAATGTACTAAATTTCACTGAGACTAAACAGTATCTTGGAAATATCTTTAAAATGCAGCTAATAATAAGTCATAGGGTTATTTGAGCATTACATACAGAGCATGCAAAGCACAGAGTAAATCCATAATGCTTTATTTTTACCATCATTACTGCTCAAACTAGAATAATATATTCTTTGGCATGAAATTTATTTTAATGTGACAGTCAGGATCCTAATGTAAAGTACCTTATTCTATAGGGCATAGATGTGAATAAACACTTAGGATGTAATTTCCTCTTCTTTGTGTTTTGTTACATAAATAGTGCTAATACTGGAGTAGAACAGATTTTGTATTCCAAAATAATGGCACAGTCAATGGCAGAACAAGGAAGAAGTGCTAAGTACACAGCGAATTCATTAACAACATTTTCCAGCCAAATATATGTATGTATAAAATCAGATATTCTAAGCATTGAAACAGCTACTGAATGCAAAAGCACATGAATACAAAGGACAGAAAAAAATACTTCAAACTTTTTGTGAAAAGTTTAAAAATGTATATGATGCATATTATCCACTAGAACAGATAGCTTCATGAAGCTTTGGTTTTGTTACCTGTGCTGGAGCCATTAATTCTAGTTCTGAAGTAGACTCGGAGTTGAGGGCACTTTTCCCACCACTCAGCTCTGGTTGAGATCTGTGCTCTGAGGACCTGAAAGGGGTGCATTGAGAAAATTAATGTAAATCAACAAAAAATCCATCTATAAATCTAGCCAAGGAAGCTAGTTAATTTGGATCATTTAAAGCCATGATAACAAAGTTCTCATTAGGAATGTGATGAAAAAAGTTAAGTGGTATGAATTTCTAACATATGACCACTTTCAAGTATCTTCATGTAGAATTTATTTTATTTTATTTTTATTTTTTGGTGCCAGGAATTCAACTCAGGGCCTTGTGCTTGCCAGGCAGGCAATGAACTATACCCCCAGCCCTTAGAATTTAAATAATTAAATAAAGATGTGTGAGTTGAAACAGGGCTGCCCTGTAAAAGGCTTCAAAACATAGTAAAGTTCAGGTGGCCAGACTTTTGTATGGGTTCTATAGACTATTCTTTTTTTTTCATACCGGGAATCGAACTCATGACTTCAGGCTTGCCAGGCAAGTGCTTCTGCCACTGAGCTACACCCCCGGCCCTGGACTATTCTTAATTGCTGCATTATTTGACAATGGATAACTCAAAACCAGAGAACAGTACCTGAATAATCAGAAAAATGTAACCATCCTATATATAATATATTGAATATATTCAGATATCTCTCTATATCTATCTATCTATCTAGTTTGACTAGTACCTTAATCACACATTCAGAAAATTATCAATACATATCACAAACCTCCTCAAATCCTTACTGATTGAATTAATTTTTGACAATTCAGACAAAACAATTTAAAGCTGGTAAAAGCTATAGCAATTAACATTGTTATGTAGGAAGTTATTACGCATGACACCAAGTATTTAGATTAAATATTCCTGCAGGTGACACACAAGTGGCTATTTTCTGGCATCGAATCTTACCATAAGAGCTCCTTTGATCCACTTCTGGATGAGCAGGATTTTCCCTCTGCCATTGGATGTCCTTTGCTGTTTCGATCTCCGTGAAACTTAACATCATCCCATTTTTCCAGTTGTGTTTGAATGTCTGCTAAGGAGAAAGGGAGGGAGCAAGGCAGACCAGGAAACAGCATGAGGTGCAGAGGGAAGAAGAGAGATTAAGATTGAGAAGTTTTATCCAAGTGAATTGTACTACACCCATGCCCACAAGACCCAAGACCAAACTTTACTTTTTCAATGTGTCATAAAAAGTAACTAAATAAAAGTGAGACCTATTAAGATAAATTGTTTTTATAGTTGAAGCATTCAGGTCTGAACTTGTCTCAAGAGCTGAGTGATTTCTGAATTTGTGGACAAGCCCCACAGTATCTGGAGTTAGAATGTGCACATGGAGTACCATCTGATTCCAGCTAAGGATGTGGCTTTAGGGCGCTTCTGGCATGTTTCTAGAAAGATATTTTCTACACAGAGATGAGTTTCAATGTTAAGAGGAGGTGGAACGAAACCAGGACAAACTGATGAAACTACTTGATTTTTCACCAAAGGAGGGAATGTACACTGGGGATGAAGAGAGAGGAGGCAATGGAGAAAGCTAAGAGAATGCTGGAACCATTTCTTCCCACTGTCTTAATTCTTATGGAAAAGCACTTGCATTCTCTTATTATAATTCTGTGACTGAACCATCCATTTAACTTGGGGCACACTTTTTTCATTTCTATAAAGGTGTGTTTGCAGTGGATGTCTTCTAAAGTCTTTTGTGTCTGCTTTAGAAAATTGTGGTACAATGTACACGACAAAATTTACCATTTTAGCCATTTAAAAGTGTACAATTCAGGGGCATCAGTACATTCACACTGTGGTGCATCTATTATGCTATTTATTTCCATCATCTCAAACTGACGCTCTACCTTTTAGACCCTGACACCTCATTCCTCCTTTTCAAGCCCACTTCCTTCTTAGCTCTTCCTCCCTAGTTCTAACATTACATTTAATCGTCTACTGGGTGTATCCATGAGGAGGACTACAGTTTCTTCAGGCATACAGGTCCGAAGCTGAACTTGGCAGTTTTCACCGTGACACTCTCCTTTACTCCTTCCCTTCTTGATTCCTTGGTTGCAGTTTTGGCACAGCCTCCCTTTATGTCCCCGATACTTGCATAACCAACCACACTTATGTAATTCACAAAACTTACTGTAATGCATATTACTTTTCAGCCTATCTTTCTCTTTCCTTCTCTTCTGTTACTGCTGGACTCTTTGTTTTGGTCTTCTTGCCTTAATACCTTTCCCCATGCACTGATCAGAGAAGGATTTTTACAAATACAGTTGGTTTCTGTCACTCTTTTCAGGTAAGTCCTTCAAGCCGTGTCTCTTACCACCCAGACTTAGGGCCCTGGCATCCATGGACTCCCTTTGTCTGACTATTAGTGACCTCAGACTTTTTCCTCACCATTCTAACATCCTTGAATACTACTGCTGTACTCATAATTGCTTGAGAAGACATTTCCCTGTGTTTACCTGCTTATCTGTGTGTGGATCTCTTTCTCTTTTGTACCAGAAATACCCTGCCCTCTTTCTCTATCTCTTCTGATCTACCTTTTTCATCTGGCAAATTCCTCCTCTTCCCTCAAGATTCTGTTCACATGATGTGTTGTATGAGGCACCTTGTTCATCTCCCTAGTTTCACCAGAAGCACTATGAAGATGTTCAGATAGTAACTAATCTGAGCTTCCTCTTCTTAAATATGTAGTTAATATTATATTATAATTATCTAATCATATTTCTATTTTTCCACTGGGCTGTACACTTATTAAGGAGGAGAGAGAGTTTATAATATTTATTTTTATATTGTTGGCATATGATATGTGCCTAGAGCACGGTAGGTAATCAGAGAAATGTTTACTGACAAACGAATAAATGAATTCATGGTCACCATATATACATATCATACTAGTTAAGTAACTGCCCATATGCTTCATAATGTTATGGGTAAGTTATGAGTATGTTCAGTTTCTGAATATATTTATTAATCTACACACATACATACACAAACGTACCAGTCCGTCACAGCCAGAAGGGATGGATATTTCCTTTGGATTTTTGAAATACCCACTATTTACTTTTTTCCAGAGAAAAGAAAGGCTGATTTGATTAGTTTCATGAGCTAAGCATTAAGCTCTCCTTTCTCTGGAAGATGCAGAATATGGTGGATAAAAGTATGGGCTATGAAGTTAACTACAGCGAGGCTCAAGCTCCAATTCTTCCTCTTACTGAGTATGAAATGTTGGGCAGGTTAATGATGAAAACCTGGTTTCTCATATATTTCAGAAATGTGATAATTTAATGAGACAAGATATGTCAATCATGCAATGCAGCCCATAGACATTATAAACCACAATAAATAGTAACTATTATTACTGCCTGGGACATATCTTCACCTCTGTTGGATGCTTCTGTTTTGTTTGGCTGTCTCTGGGCCTTGTGATAGAGTTGTTTACTTTTGTGTCACTCTTTTGCCCTAGGTTGAGTGGCTTTAGAGAGCAAGATTTATGCCCACCAGGGTGCCTGGCATCTATGAAGAACTCAGGGTACATGGGTTGAATACATATATGCATGAATCAATACTAGTTATGCAGAGTTGAGCTCCCCATGGTTATTCAATTCAAGCACAAAAGAAACTGTGTCCTGGCCGTCTTTTCTCCTACTTTGTTCACTATTTTAATGTCATTTGCAAGACTTTCCTGTTGTGTCAAAACCAGCATGGCAAGGTTGAGAGCAGCCACCATGAACGATTGCCTTACCTAGGTCTAAGGATGAAGTCTCCTGGACTCTCAGAGGCTGACCTCTCTGCTCAGCATCTGTGCTGATGAGGTCAGATCCATCTGCCTTTTTCTTGAGGGATGAGGTTTTTGATGAGGCCTCCAACTTCTTAGCTTTGGTTTGGGTTTGAGACACTGGTTCACTCAGGTCGAGGAGATCTAAGCCAGTGGTCAACACTAGCAGAAATGGAAGAGATTAAGATAAGCACATTTATTACTATTTAGCTGTTTTTTTGTTTGTTTTGTTTTGTTTTTTTTTAAAGATTTCAGTTGGGTATAGAGGGATCTTGTGGTGATGGGATAGGTTTGAAACACCCAATTAAGTTGGCTCACCATTGATTTATAAATACTATTAGGCTGGGAAAGTTTGCTACTGGGAAACTTTGCTACTGGGAAAGTTTGCTACTGGGAAAGAGCTTTTTGGCATGGTACAAATCAGTGAGACAGAATTTAGACCAGCTTCAGCACTGATGAAGCTTCAAAGGACATTAAAATGATAAAATTGAATTTCAGTTCAGGTACAATTTATTATTTTGCTTCACTTATAGTGACACTTTATTTTTGATTGTGCCTTTACCAGAGAATCTATAAACTCTCGAGTGAAGTGTTTGAATGTCTTCGGGCTTTAATTTTAAACAGTGAAGTCTACGAGGTATAAAGCAATGCTGTTAATCATCTTTTATTTAATTAAGCAGTTCAATCAGAAAATAGCATGCTGTTTAGGCTCACACTCGAGAGGTGTTTTATAATCCATAGTTGATGAATAGGTACACACGTTAATGCCTTTGCTGTTTAATATGCAAATTTAAATTTCAATGTAACTAACTATAAAACTGTTACACTTTTACTTCCTAGTAGGTTGATTACATTGTATTAAACACTCCAACAAAGGCAGAAATAATAGTCTGTCCGGATGCAAACCAGGCAAATAATTCAAAAGGCAAGCATTGTAGCCTTCAGTTTTCACTTTTCCAGGGCCAGTAGCTAGTATTTGATTGGCTCACTGAGAAAAAGAAATTGAAATTCGAGAAGGTCCCTCCAGCTCTCCTTTCTCACCAAGCCCTGCTGTCTTACTGTCATAGCACCGGAAGGGCTGGCTGCAGCACAGACCTGGGGGCTTCCTGGCCCGGGGTCTCCTCACCCAGCTAGCTTGGGAAAGGCTCTGTAGGACAGCAACACTCGTGTAAACTCCTGGGCACAGTCTACAGCAATGCTGTACACACTTCCTCTTTACCACCCCAGCCTTTTCTCTGGGTGGGGAACGGATTTTACTGATGTCTCACTACCTTTCATTCAAGAAGGCTCTGGGCTCTGCTGAACTCACAGCCAGGGTTTCTTCAGCACTACAGTACCTTCATCTCTGGGGAACCTCAGGACAGTGAGCAAAGCTTGATTATTTTTTTAAAGTCAGTATAATTGACAAATAAGATCATCTAGACTTAAGGTGTACAACGTCATGATTTGAGCAATATGTACTTGTCTATGTATGTAGCAATTCTTAATTTCCTCTGCTTAGAAATATTTTATAATAGCACAAGTCAAACAAAATAGCATTCTTACATATAAACAGAAATGTGCTCAGCATCTTGTTCTCAGAGACAGATCAAAAAGCAGGTAAGAAAACACCCTTCTAGATGAGCTGTTAGTATCTCTACGAAAGTTGACTCAGTCATTTTGTTTTCTGATTTTAATTCCCCGTCAGAGTAGTGGATGCGGCTGTGAAGTGGAAAGATCAGGTTCTACTACTTTTAGTTAAATGACTTGAGGTGTTTTTGGACCAGATTGAGTTTGTTTCCTTACCTGGAAAATGGAGAATTATAGTCTTTTAAATGTGAGATGAGGATTGAATGATTCTAATAGAAAGTAAGTGCCAGACTAACGATACTAGAAAATATGATTCTGAGCTTGGCGTCAAGCCTTTGCCTAGTACGCATGAGACCAGGGCTCGATCCTCAGAACCACAAACACATATAAAAAGAAGTTATTTCTATTCTTGGGAGACCAATTTGTTATTTTTTTCTTTTCTTTTTTTTAAGCACACTCCCATTTTCCCTGTTCTTTTCTATTTCAGACAAGAATCAGATCCACACACTAAAAAAGGAAACCCTATTGGAAATAAAACTGAGGATGAGATGAAGATATTAGTTCTACAGAGGATTCTATGAAGTATATTTACCATAAAATGGCCTAGAAGTGTCAGCTTATCGCAACCGAGTCTTCTTGAGCAGAGAGGAGCCACTCTGTGACACTAAGGTCCTCTGAGATATGAGTAGTGTTTTGTGGCTAGAAAGTACTTGAGTGTAGAGGAGAAGAAGTGGCTTTCAGAACTAAGCTACTTGGCTTTACGTCTAAAATTTAAGCATGGCAGGCAGCCAGTACAGGCTAGGATGCTACACACTTCATATCCATTGAATGGTTAAATAAAAATTTGTAGACCACTGCTAGGTTGGCAAGGATCCTAGGCTCAGTGTGATTTCCTTAGAATAGAATAAAGAAGAGGATGACAGTCTCTGGAATGCTATATACATATATCTTTTTTTTTTTTAACCAATTGTATAAACAATTAAGAATTAGTTGCTTGCTTCTAGACTTCTTTCAGAAGCAAATTATATAGGAATCATCCCCTTGTATATAGGAGTACATTTGTTACTGGTGAGCACTAATTTAATTCTATATCTGCTTCTGACCATTCAGAACAAATGAATTACTAAAAGAGTGAACTGCAAATTCAAACTATGCCCAGCAGGATTGCTTTCCTCTCCACAGTGTCTTGGGCACTTCTTGTGTTTGCTCTGAGTTCTCTGTCCCTTTGTTCTTTTTCCTGCAAATGTGAAACCAATGCTTGCCACATGCAAAAGCCTTTCTGGTTACCCCATTGATGAAAGAGGTGTTTTGGAGGTCGAATGGCAAGCTTTGAAGTAGAGAGCGTACATGAAGATCACAATTTTGAAAAGAGAAGGCTGGGGGGCAGTCTTTTATTTCTCTGGAGGGGATAACATTTTAGTAAGGGTGTGGGTCCCTTAGGTAAGATTTAAAAGTAAGGGTCTTACCGTTCCACATGTGTTTCAGAGTGTCCATAGACATACAAGGAAGTGTATGATCTGATGATCTTCACCCAATTTAGAAAAGTCTCTTAGACACATGAAAGTTTGGGCTCTAGTATCTGCATGCTTAAAGAGCACAAAGGACAGCTTCCTCTGACAGTGGATGTCAAAATGTGGGCATGTGCATATGTGTGTGTGCATGTAGAATTATATATCTCATGGGTAAAATCTTATTTTCACATATACAGACTTTTCTACAATGGAGTGCATCAGTTACCACTCACAGCTCACAGGAGTGGGGACCCATTGTCCAAAGGAAGTCATTCTTTGTATTTGCATCTGCTGCAGCAGAGATCTCAAGCCTGGTAGCTTCTGACCAGGTCTTTATTCTCCTAGTCATTCCTGGCAGCACTTTGTCCTGTCTTCACTTACGTTCAGCCAGCCCAGTTTGGTGTGCTGATGTTATGTAGTCACGCATGAAATGTGGCAGAACGGGACAGCTGCAGAGGCTGCCTGTTTCAAATCCTGGCCCTGCCATGCATTAGCTATGTAATTTGGGCAGGTATTTAGTCCCTCAGTTTCTGCCATCCTAAAATTAGAATAAAACTCTACTTCAGGGAGTAAAACAGTAAATGGAGTGCTTCATTTAAAGCCCTCAGAACAGTGCTAATCATGCAAATAAATATGATCATAACATAATCATAAGATCTTTTATATGAGGGAATCAGAAGGGTCAGAGTCAGAGGAGATACAAGGATGAAACTGAGACGCAGCTAGTTTTGAAGCCAGGGGAACCATAAACCAGCAAATGTGGTCTGCAGGAGCTGTAAAAGTAAGGAGGACAAATTTTCTCTTAGAGTCTCCAGAAGGACTGTAGTCCTGATGACACCTTGACTGAAAGACTTTTGACTTCCAGAACTTTAAGGTAACAGAACTGTGTTGTTTTTGGACATTAAATTTGTGGTAACTTGTTATAACAGCAATAGGAAACTAACATAGCTATTAAGTCAGTCTATACCAAGACTCAAACACAGGTCTGGCCTTGCAAGCCTGTGTGTGTTCTTTACTACGCCTATCTAGACTTCAGGGGAACCCAGAGGCATGGCGTGGACTCTATTCATATGATGCTTATTTTCTTAAGCTCATGATTCTTTGACAGTTTGCATGTTCTGTGGGATGACAGAAATGATTAGTAATATCAGAAAATTTCTTTTTTGTATAACCTAATTCCATTGGATGAAATTTTCTGAAGACAGAAGATAGTACATTTCCAAAGTATTTGTTTCCAGTTCTCAAGGACACTTGCTTGAAGATCATACCCTATTGAACGGGAAGGCTCCCATAAGGTCCTGAAGATGTCTATCAGTACTAGCTAGCTTCCTTGGGCCCTGGGAGGTGAAGCTGCTTAAAATAAGATAAAATAACACCTATCATGAAACCCTATTTTGATAGTTTGGTGCTAATAAACTGTACTACAGTACAATGAGGCATGATTTAAATACCTATTGATCTCAGAAACTTAAAATTTTTTTTTATTTTTTATTTTAAACAGAAAAAACAATAACAAAATAACAACAATAAAGACAAAAACAAAAAACACAAAAACAATAGAAACAATACAGAATTTCAAAACAACATGATAGGAAATTAACAATGGTTGTTATATCACATATTGTTATCTTCAGCGAAGTTGCTCAGATTATCCGATGTAAGAATGCAAGATTGATCAAACAATTAAAGAGAATAAAAGTAATAGAAAAAATTAGAAATGGTACAGAGCTTCAGAAACTTCAAATAGATTTGTCAAATAGATAAATGGCATTTAATCCAATCAACCTTTTTTAAATTGAAATTTGAAAGTAAAACTACTTCTCATATTTATAAGCCTTTTCAGAGGCATGCCATCAGGTTCACAGTCATTTGAACTTCATAAAAATGTTTTTTGTAAATGTTACACTAATTTTGCAGTTCAGAGATTTTATTAGGTGACTGTGGCACAATTGGGAACAGGATGGTTCTTGTCTTATAAATAAGGGTGCCATATAGGCGTACGAACCCCAAATGGAAGTGTAAGTTACAGTTTTTAAACCATGAAAAATGTTCCCTTTAAAGTAACTATTTACCCAATGGCTCAAGTCTGTGGATAAAATGTTTTAAAATTATATGGCTTAATGAATACAACCACCTGCTTTTCTTCTCATTTTTAGCAGATTCTGCCCTGTGTATGAACATACCCTAGGTTTATTGGGAGATTACAGAGTAACGAATATTGTGAAAAACTTTGTAGGTATTTCTTGGACTATAATATAATCACTTTTTAATATCTAAATATCTACTGTACACTTTTAGAGCATTTGCTGTATGACTATGTACATAATATTTACTTATTTGCCTTTGTAGAATCCAAGATTTTAACAGTTATTATAGCTTAGCACAAAAGGACACAGTTTGAGAGGGCCAAAGAGTTAGCTGTCTGCATGGATTAGATGAATATAGAGAATTTAGGATGTCAATGGAAAAAATAAAAGGCAAACATCCTCAATGGATGAGCTTGACGTTATCATCATTTAATTGACAAAAGTTAATCCTAATGTAGGAACAAGCAGAAAGTGAAAAAGATAATCAAGGCACTTAAAAATTATAATCAAAACTTCTATGAGTTAAAAGATACATTCTTTTGGGAGTTAAAAAAAAAAACCTCATCATCTCACTCACCATTTGGAAAAATATTCCTATTGCTTACTTTGTGTTGCTTTATATGAGAACCATGTTCTTAGGGATTTAAAAATAGAATGTTTCTTCCTGGAGATATACTTCTAAGATTAAGAGACATGCTATCAACCATGAACCTTTTTTTCAGGATAAAAATCTGTGTGAACCAGGCATACTGAATACTTAGGCTAAAAAGGAAGTCTGTAGCCTCAGAACACCATTTTTCCAGCTCCACCCTTTATAAAATGTTATGGATTAAATTGTGCATCTCCTTTCATTCTTATGCTGAAGACCTAGTACCTCAGGATGTGCTTTTATTTGGAAATAACACTGTTATGCTGCACAAGGGTAGGCTGATATTCCAAAATGGCTGCTGTTCTCATCGAAGAGACACATGCAGAGTGGGAGAAATACCCACAATGCACCATGGGAAGATTGGAGCTATGCTGCCATTACCCAAAGACCTACTAGAAAGAGATAAAAAGATAGACCCGGACCAGGTTCTTCCTCAGTCACCGGAAGGAGTGTGGTCCTGCTCACACCTTGATTTTGGGTTTCCAGCCTCAAAAACTATGTGTTGTTAATCCACTCTGCTAGTGGTAGTTTGGCACAGCAGCTCTAGGAAGCTCATAAAGACAGCAATGCTGTAGGTATCGGGATTGTAAGAAATTATACCTTCTTTTGATTTTTTTCTTCCAATATTTTGTAGGTCTTTTATATGCTAGATATGTGAGATGAAAAGTAGCTTCTGAGTCATTTTACATTGCTCTCTCAGAGTGGGCTCTTCTTAAGTGACTTAGTTCTCTCAGCGAGAATTGGAAAGTGAAGAGCAACTTAGTACACTGAATTCTCCTGGGTTTGCCTAGAGTTAGAGATAAAGGTTCTGTATTATCTAGGGTTGTTCTCCAGTTTTGGAGGGCTGAACAGCTTGCCTTTGAATGCGAATACGGAGCAAATGAAGTCAGTGCAGAATGGCTGCCTCTGCTAGAGAAATGTAACTCATGCCAGGGTGTGCGCATTTGCTCACCAGGCTCACACAAGTTCAGTGCTTGTTCTTATACATGCCAGGCATTGAGCAGAAGATGATTTTCTGCTTCGGTATGTTTAGTTCCAGAAGAACATTCAAACAAATTGGAATGTTCATTCAGTTTCTAAGAGGGAGCAAGTAACATACAGGACAGAAAACAAAATTGGCTTTATGCTATCTTTTGGCTATGGGAGAATTTAATTGTTCTTTAAATCTACATGGAAAGTCTCTCACATGTTTATTTTACCAGTCTTTTGTCACACATAATATTTTCAGAAATAATTGGGCCATTAACCATAACTTGAAAATTCTTACTCAGAAATAGATACTTTCCTTTTAATCCGATGCAACTAGAAACTCAAAGATGTAAATGTAAAAATATTCATAGCAAAAAAATTGCTAACAGAGGTATAGTTGTGGTCAGCAAAATTGATGGGTAGCATACAGTGTGGTTTTTTATGTAATAAAAAGCAATTTATTAGTTGATATAGAACGGTATATGCTCTAAAGTTTCATTTGTTTGCAAATATCACTCCCTACCTAAAATGCCTGGGTAAAAAAATGTGCATTTCATCATAATTCAAATGAACTCCGTTTGAGGCACAGTTAAAAGTGAAAGAATTACCAGCTGTATTGGACGTTACTGGCCTTGCAATTGCCTCCGATTTGGTTTCACAGAGAAAGTCGTCGATGGAAGGACTCAGGAGGGGCCTGCTCTCTTGCTGCTCATTCACCAGCTGAGAAAAAATGAACACAGGTGTTAAAGGGCTTCGTCCACCTGCAGAATCAGACGGGTTAAAATACAGCCTTGCAACAAAATGGGAACAGCAAGCCTACCGAAAATAAATATGTACGTAAATAAATAATAGGGTAGGGGCAAGAAAGAAAGAAAGAAAAAAAAAAAACTACCAAGGAGTGGGGAATGAGCCTTTTAGCACTGTCAACATATTTTTGATGCAGCCAACTTTGAATTTTAAAGCTCAAGCCTTTTTCTCTTTCTCCTGGAGTAGTTTTAGAATTATCCTCCAGATCCAATATGCAGAAATGACTCCTATTGATTCACAAGGCCAATCCCTTTCCTCACTTAGACAGAAAACTCAGACTGAGATCTGGAACGGTGGCTTGAGACTCCAAGCTAGCAGGGTCTGGTGAAGGCTGGTTGTCAGTGTCTACATGGTGGCGAATGCAAACACATGGATGAATAGTTATGAATCCACACGCTCCTTCTCTCTCTCTTAAAAAGCTCAAAGCAACTAACACACACCCTCTACATTTCCTTGGAATGCTTCTGTAATACTTCACAAATGTTATTTGAGGAGAGTAAAATATATTGTTATACTGATTGTACAGGTATCTAGTAGATGTTTGTGAGAATCTGTGGTAAAATACATTCTGTAAATTTAATCACAATTTCCCACAACCTTGTTCTATAAATTGGCAATTTTTCAGTGGGTCTGTAGTTATCAGTAGCAGGCATCTATTTACTTTCAGTTATTCTGTACCTTTTTGCATCTAGACTTTCAGTAGTTAAAAAAGAAAATATACTTATGACACACAGGTAGTTAATCCCTAAATTAACTGGCCTAATTTCTTAGGCATGGCCATTTAATTTTCTACTTGTCATAAGAAAAATAATTTATTTTTAAGATTGTATTTAAGAGGCATAATATAAGAAGCCAAATACTCTGGAGTATTACCAAATCAAAATATTTCATGTGATTCTACTCGCTATTACTGCATTGTTTCTTTGGCATAGTATCAATGCAATAGCATGAGAAGATAAGAGGGACCTAAATAATAATAAAGGAAAAAGTGCAATTCTATTTTCTCAAAGAACAATATGGGAGTGTATAATGGCCATCCAGAGACTAAAACCAAGATATGCATTTGGTACTTTATCATATTCATGCTATCATTTAAATATGAGAAAAGAGATCTCCATCAGAGTTTGTGGTTTTGATATAGACTTGACAGTTTGATTTTCATACTTTGTAATTTCTGGATGTCATTGAGAGATAAGCACTGGGAATGTTCTTTCAGTGTTCAAGTTACCGTGAGGCATTACTGTTAAGTTTAAGCGTTTAATATGTATAAAGTCTCACAAATTTCACTGGGAGCATCCAATATTTGTTTGTTTGTTTGTTTTGATGCTTCCTTCACATTTGGTTTTCTGAATTTGAATGCTCGTGGGTATTATCCATAATATTTATATTGAAACATTTTTAAATGCTGAGGGACTGTAAGCTTCCCATGTTTGTGGGATAGAATATATTTGAATTTTTATAAATGTCACAGTCTATTTGAGTGTAGGAGTAATGTACAATATTTTTTGGCATAAAGTCAATTTTGTTGTCTGGAAATGTACTTGAAAGTACTGGTATAGACTATAATATACTAGAAAATGAAAAAATGGCTAAGCTTCCTGATTCTGTGAATGCTTCTGCAGATGTGATTAGTATCCTAGAATCTATATCTTATGCATAGGTGGTTCAGATTAAAAAAAAAAAAAACAATTGTAAGTCTGCAAGAGTTTGCAAAGGAACCACTCATTAATTTGTAAGTCTCAGTATAAACTGCTCTTTCAATCATAGGTGCTTAATGTAATGGTCCCTTCCAGTGGAATGTCACTATAGTGATGTAGTTCTGACTTCAAAACACCAAAGAAGAGCTAAATTCTGCTGCTAAAGGTATTCATGGAGTTTGAAAGTCACTATTAAATATGGTACTACATTATACTGATAGAAGTTATTTTAACTTCTGTCAATCTGCTTACTGGCCTCTGGCTCTAGGTCTGATTGACCCATTGGCTAAAGTGTACAAGGCAGAAAGACCAGACTCAATGAATGCAACTGAGACTTTAAACATGAATATACATGTAAGATGCCACATGCTTGTCTTTGTTTGTTTTTTTTTTTTTTTTTCCTCCGGTACCAGGAACCGAACTCACGACCTTGCCAGGCAGGCGCTTTGCTGCTGAGCTAAATCCCCAGCCCCACATGCTTGTCTTTGATAACCATTATTTATCTGAGAAAAGTCTAACTTCATTAACAGATAACTATGAAAAACTGAATCCCCTAACTCATGATTTTAAAATTATAGATGATCTCTTTTGCAAAATGCTTGGGACCACAGGTATTTCAGATTTGGGTTGTTTTTGGATTTAAATACAAAATGAGAGATTTTAGGGACAGGACCCAAGTCTAAACCCTCATGTACAATTTATATCTAGAGTCTCATGGTAATTTTATGAAATATTTCTAGTTTGCCTCTGATTTGGTTGCAACTCATCACATGAGGTCAGGTATACTTTTCCACTCATGGGATCATGTTGATATTTAACACATTTCACATTTTGGAGCATTTCTGATTTTAGATTAGGGATGAAATAATTTTCATGCAGCTAAATACAAATTATATTCCATGAAAGTCCTTTGTACTCTTTCTTTAAAGAAGGACTAAGAATTTATCCCTGTAATTATGTGCACATATACACAGAATAAGCCTAAATTATCTATAGATTATCAGGGTGATTATCTATAGAATATCAGGGTGATTGATTTCTCAATGCTGAAAAACTATAAGTTTGAAAGAATTCCGGAAAGTTAGAACTTTGTCTACAAAAATATCTAAATGGAAAAACAAAGAAAAGGCAAAGTTCAGTGAGAGAGCTGTCTTTTTAGGCTTGTCTACTTTATCAAAGGAATTTTTAAAAATCTTTCATTCAAATGTTTGATACATTTTTTGGAGACAGCACCTCTAGCATTCAGTACAGGAAGAAAGGTCTCCAACAGGGAGCCTCTTTGGAGAGACCCCAAGAGTCCAGGGGACAAAGACATGGCTTTTCCAGTCTTCTAGACCTCTGTCTCTTGAGGTCTGTGTCTCTTCCACACCCATCAGTGGTGTTGTTTCTGACCGTATTCCAGTTCACATCTGGAGTGATGGAAGCATTATGCTCACCCACTTTCTGTCATTAAGGCATTCCTGCGGCTTTCTCTCACAAATGCAAATCAAAGTACGTACAACAAGCTACTGTATGACTCAGTGTTTTCCTGGTGGGAGTCCAGTTTAGCTGTCAGGAAATTGTTTGGTTGGGGTGGGGAGACAGCGGGGCTCCAGGTGAAAAAGAATGAAAGGCCAGATGACCAGGAACATGGAAATGCAATTAGAACCAAGCAGAAAGAGTTTTGGCTTTGATCAAGATATGAAAGATGAAATAAGGTTCTTACAAAGATAAATTTTTTCTTGCCAAGTCTGAGGTCAGAGACTAACTACATCACACTCATATTTATACCCATCACAACTTCAAAGGAGTTTACTAAGTCACTGCCAAATGAGACAGTGACTTGGCAGAAACTGAAGACACAAAAATATCTGTCTCAAAGAATCCAATTAAATTGTGTCTTTAGTTGCACGGATTTAGGACTGATTATTTGGCCATAGGAATTACCATTTTATTTTTATTTCTACAGACATGCACAGCTTTTCCCATGTCCCTCCCACTTTTGATTTTCAAGCAAGACTATGGTTTTTCATTTGGTGATGTGAGAATACATAAGTCTTTTAGGTCATGGAAATTTCCAAACTAAACTAAATACCCCAAGCAGTCCTTCTAAATTCCACTTCCAAGTTGTATGCCATTTATTCTTTCTTTATTCATCGGTAGGATAAAGTTTATAGACTCTCTCTCTTAGAATTACTTCCCTTAGTGGGAAAATACTTTATGAACTTCCCTCATTTCACTCTTTAGGGACAAAAGATATTGATGTTTTAAAATTATAAAAAATAAGTTGAAGGTTTCTAATTCTTTTTGAATAAGTGAGTTGGAGTGAGTGCAGTTTTGGTTTAACCAGATTATAATAAGTCCCCGGCTTATGAACATTTGAGTTGTGAATTCTCACAGGTATGAACAGACCTCACATTAGGAATATTTGTAGATGCAAACAAATCGCAGAAGTAGCTCCCCTGTCTGCTGGACATAATCATAGCCGTGTTGAAGTGTGCTTACTGCACAGCGCGGTGGTGTACAGCAGCACAGCGCTCAATCAGAGCCCGGATGTCCGGGAGCAAGAGGCAAAGCAGTGGTGATGTGGAGAGCAGGCTAGGAAGCGCAAAGCAATATGCGGAGTACCTTTGCGTCAAAGATGTATGAGACTCGCTTTGCTGGACTTATGAATGAGTCCAGTTTATGAACATTCTCCCAGAAAGAACACATTCATAAGTTGGGGCCTTAGTGTATCATAGCTGAGTTAAGAAAACTTACTTCACTAGTTGCTAAGGTTTTTGTCTCAGTTTTTTTTTTACAGTTTTAAACTTCCTTTCTTTTCTGTTCTGGCCTCTTCTCAATATTTGGATCAGTTCAAAGACCACTGTATAGCTGGGAGTATAGTTCATTGGTAGCGTTCTTAGTATCCACAAAGCCCTGGGCTCACTCCTCCAATCATGTACATGTGCGTGTGGGTGCACACACACACAAGCACATCAAACGGTGGCAGGTTCTCATTTGTCTTCCAAGACCCCATTTACCTGGGACATTGCTGGGAACCTTCTTCGGTGCCAGGCAGTGAGTGCCTTTCTAAAGTATCTCCAAATTCCCATACTCTACTCATTATCACGATTTTTAGTTTTATCTATTTTCCTTCTCACTAGACTGTAACTTCCTAAGGGTAGAAAGCATAGTCATTTTTTTTTTAATCCCATAGCAATTTTTTTTTTTTTTTTTGGTTTTTCTCTGGTACCA